TTATGTGGCGTAAGTGCGAAAATCTTGATATTTAATAAATAAAGTTAACGCACAAAACATAAGTAATAAAAAGGTAGGCGTAAGCGCTATGAACATGATATTTAATAAATAAAGCAAGCACATGAAACGTTAATAATAAAAAAGAGGTTTAAAAAACCCTCTTAGTAAGCAAAATGAACATTGATATAATAAAATGAGAAAAGACTGAAAAAAAAACAGAAAAATGTATGCCAATACTCAACATTGCATTTGGAATGTATATTGCTATACTGCTTTTGAAATATTTTCAATTTCGCTTTTATCTGTATGTGGCATAAGTGCGAAGAAAATGATGCTTACTAATATAGCTAAAAACACACATAAAAAAAGGTTCGTGGGCGTTAAGTGTAAAAGTAGATTAGTAGACTGCAAGCTCAGCGAGAGCGTAAAAATCTTTACAAACACTTCTGGGCGACCGTGAAATTCTGAAACCTTTGATATTTTTTTTTCCTTTTTTTATTTTTCGTGATTATATATATAAATCTAAAACAGACAGTAAATATATTTTATCATAATTAAATTTCAAAATGAGCATAATATAGAACTATTTTAATGTATTAAAATAGGTAGTATGTTCTGGAACAAAATAAAAAAAACTGATCGTATAAAACAAAACTGGTACACTTTTATCACATTTTAAACAAAATAAATTTGGGCTCTTAAAAAGTATCCAGTTGCACGATAAAGATGCGTACTTTTGGAATACCCTGTAGAGTAATTGACATACAACAATAATCATCTTGAACAATAGCTACAATTGACTAGTTTAAATGTAACTGTTTAAAAAGTGTAATTAATAAACATCCTTATATAGACTAATTAAAGTTATACAGGGACCGGACCACAATACAGGGACCGGAGATAACCACTTATTCAATGTTAAATAAACTTGCTCCTGAATTCTTAAATTTTCGGTAGAGCATCGTTCCTATAGATTTTCACATTACATTATACAAAACATGCGAGAATTTCACATATAATACATCAAAATCATACACATATGTACCAAAATTCGTAACACTGCCCCTTTCCAAAGGACTGCACGTTACGGGCAGTACAATCTCTGGATAGGAAGCCATACTTTAATACTACCGAAATTCAGCGCAATACTAAAATAATAATTCAGAAAAATAACAAATCAAACACTAAATCAAAAAGTAAATGCATAAATTTACAAATTCATATACAAATAGGACCATGGTCATAGTATACTCTTTACATTATATACACTAATGGTAATAGGTACTTGTGCTCATAGTAACGGGTTAGCCTGTTCTAATGAGCGACGTTAGGTTTAGAATTTGATGATTTACGGATCCGCATTACGATGTCTTTCAGCCAGTTTAGGACTGAGTAAGGACCGACTCAATGTTATTGAAGTTTAGGAGAAAGTCCTTTCTGTCGAATCGCATTCCATAACCACACCTTGCCACGTTTGCTGAATCTATGTCCGATTAGCTCTCGTGTAATATCTGGTCACCATCTTTTAAATAACTTACTTTTAACCTTAACCAGAAAACCGTTGAATTTCAGAAAGCTAAAGCGCCGCCATCAATTATTGGTTGGTAAACTAAATTTCCTGATTGTGCCGAAGTGGCAAATTCTCTTACCGCATCCCCTGTCATTTATCCTAAGTAAAACATACAGTGACAAAGCCGCAGTCTCTTCATTCTGTCTTTTTTCTTCAGTAGTAGAGTTTTTTTAAAAATTTCCGATTTCACAAAAGCAGGTACTTTCTTTTGGGACACCCTGTATGCTTCATTTGTATATTAATAATGCCACAAAGTTAATGCTTTGTTTTTCAAGAAATTTATAGAAGCTGTTTCTCCCCCCCCCTTTAATTTTCATTACAAATTTTCGCCCATTAAATCAACGCGAGAAAAACAAAACAAGATACGTGTATTTATTTATTTGGCAAATCAATTACCATTACAGCTATTATTAAGATAATTGGTTTCGTAAGAAAAAGTGTTTTTCGTGTTCAGTCTACTTTCACATGTTTTATAAGTCACTAGTTTGATACAGTTACAGTTAATTAATGGTTTAAATAGCCCCCACACATTACTTGGAGAACCGTAATCCTTTCCCTTTCATCATTAGTCAATAGCTGTGACATAACTGGATTAATCTGCGGTTCATCATTCATAGTAAAGCCTTTCTGCTTTCGAAAGCTTCATTACGTCCACTATGAAGTTTATTCTGCCACAAGAGGAGACTTTTCGTAATGTTATGCAATCACTCAAGTTCATGCGACGTATTTATCTTTGTCCGCTGGTTTTCAATTAAAATTTAAATATAAGCACACTTTAAATTGAGTATATCCAATAACTAAGATTAAAAAAACTTATTTGCACACCACATGACTAATTTGTTCGGCCTATTAACACATTATACACATTTTTCGCTGTACTTCATTTAAACTTATTTCCTCGAATTATTCTAACGTAATTAACCGGTCTCTCAAGGGAAAAGATAAATGACATCAGAAATTGCAAATTTTGAAATTAAATATCGTTGTTAGATTTGTCGTTCCAGTCAAAATTCTTAATACTTTCCCAAATATAAGTATAGGAACCGGGAGAATGTATCAAACGTTAGATTTCGTTTTTTGTCCAAAATTAATGTTTTGTTTCATTTGCCATCGCCAAAAAAAAGGATATTTTCGAAATTTAAAACAATTTTGTAATTTGAAGTATATGGCTACGACCGACAATAGCAAAAATTAAAGAGCAGGTAATGAATTTTAAGCCAAGTAAAGGGGTGGGTATTTATATGACTCCCTTTTTAGTTTTAGTTTTGAAAACATTTTAAATTTACAATACCACTAATTTGCTCAATTTGTAACACATTATATTTTTATTTTACCTATTTAGTTTAATAAATATCTACAAATTATTATGTCTTAGCAGCATAATGGGTAAGAAATGTGAAGTCCTTAATACATATACGCTAGGTCTGCAGATAAATACAGTTTTTTCCACTTTTGTCATTTATACCGCTGTATTAAATTAATATGATTTAACAAATCATATTTTGAATACATTTTTAGATTTACTCTTTAAATTTTTTAAAAATTTGCAATGCTATTAATTTACTCAGTTGATAAGGTAGTTCTACCACCTTCTTAGCATGCCTTCATGGTGTAATGGTCAGCACGCTCGGCGCGTATTCGAGATGTCCGAGGTTCGAGTCCCGGCGAGGGCAATGCACATTTTTCCTCTCTCCCGCTTCGAAATAACCTAATATCTATAGATCTTATAGTTCGGGCACCACTGTAGAGACAGTGGTGCCCGAACTATAATGATTCTTCAGCACGAGGATTTGGCGATTGGGTCCCCTAATCCTTAGTCGCTCTTTAAAAGAAACCTTTTTAGCATGCCTTCGTGATATAATGGTTAGCACGCTCGGAGCGTATTCGAGAGGTCAAGGTTCGAGTCCCGGCAAGGGCACTCTACATTTTTCACGTCTCCTGCTTTGAAATAACCTACAAATGCCTCTACAAGTTTATAATACATTATTTTCTCCCCCCCTTTAATATTATTTAAATTATTTATTATTTAAATATTTATTTATTTAATTTTATATTATTTTATTCTTTTGCCTTATTTTTTATTTTTTTCTTTTGCCTGTTTAATTTTAATTTTAACTTAGTGTGTGTATATATATATGTGTGTGTGTGTGTGTGTGTGTGTGCGTGTGTGTATAATGTTGTATGATCTTAAATTCACTTAGTTCGAAAACTTATTTCGAAAACATATATATATGTGTGTGTGTATGTAAGATATAACAAAATACGATAGTTGCTTTAAAAATAATAAGAAAACAAGTCAGCATTATTTTCAGCTGAACTATTATGACGGCGACCTCAAAATTAATATTCTAGATTTGGTGCTCTTCCCCTAAATTCAGCTGTTCTCCCAACGAGATCCTTCTATGTTATGTAGCAGCCTCAAATTATCCAATCATAGCTTGTTTCTACATTTACATCAGACTTAGTACAAATATTCTCGGCACAATAAACTACATCACTTCATTCCTTTCCTTAGATTCCGAAACGCAAACATCCACGCTGTTTGCTTCCCCGACTAAGATGCCTACGTCTTATTTTTGAAAAACCAATGTGAATAGCACTTTATCCTATCTAACTATGATTGAATAAGTGTCTGTCAAATTAATTGGATATGTGTGAAAATAGGAATTGGTGATTTGTCGGAATCTAGTTTCGTCATCTTCGTCTGTTCTTGCCACTCTGCCGGCAGGAATACACATCAAAATTATATATATATTATTATATATGTTATAAGCATATGTTACGGTGAAACACCGAAATCTAGAGAATGTCGACTTTCACCGGTGAATGTCAACATTCACATAGTCGCTTAGTGTATGTCCGAAGTATTTTCCAAATACTCTTAGTTCTGACTTACACCGGTCAATGTCGACATTAACCATGTACTAATGGTAAATGTTGAACATATAAGAATATTATATTTTCTTCTCCGTAATTCAGTCGCGAAAAACGCACTTAAAAAAAGAACTTATGAACATAATGTTATCAGCCGATAGATGGCATTGTAGAAAAGCCGCCGATAGAGGGCGCACGATATCAATCGAGAATCGGGAAGCGAGAGAATGGGATTGATGTAAAGAAATGTTCCGTAATGATATGTATATATGTATATAATTGTTGTAACAATAAAGCATTTATAAAATGCAAGAGTTATCCCGATTGAATGAAAAGTGAAAGCCCAACTTACCCCTAGCCGTCCTGAGATTGATAACGGAGATTAAAGCTAATTTTTCAGAAGCGGGATGATTGATGTAAGTACGCATTGAATGACTCGCGTACCAAGAACGTCGAAGAAGGGGTAAGTTTCGTTTTTAAAGATTTGAATGCATGCGAACTGTAGAATAATTCTAACAGAATTTAGAAGTATAGAATTATATTATTAGGTAATATTATGGATGAGAATATAAAGAAAGCTTTAGATAAAGCAAAAACGAAACGTAAAACGTTAAGAAGGTTAACAACACAAGTAATTAACAGAATATGTGAATTATTAGAACAGGATATTGTAGATACAAAATCATTAGAAGAATGTGATATGAATCTACAAGAAAAAGCAGATCAGATATTTAAGTTAGATCTAGAAATTGAGAATTTAATTCCTGAAGTATCTGATCTGGAAACAGAAGTCGAGAATAATCAGGAATACAGAGAACGTATCATCTACGCGAAATCGTAGATGATACGATGAAAGTTAAGAATTATCTTCAGAATTCAGATAGAAATAAGGGAGATTTTTCGTTGAAGAATAATTCTTCACTTATTTCGAATAGTGAACCAGACAAAGCAAGAATAAATTTGCCGAAACTTCATGTAGAACGGTTTGAGGGTAATTTAGAGAAGTTTCAGGAATTTTGGTCACAGTTTGATAATGCGATTCACAGTAACGAACGCTTATCTAAAGTAGATAAATATAATTATCTTAAAGCTTTCTTGAAAGGACAAGCCTTAATTAGTATTCAAGGACTATTGGTATCGGAAAATAATTATGATTTAGCAGTTGAATTGCTTAAAGAAAGATACGGGAAAAAAAAGAAATTATTGTCAGATCTCATATTAACCATTTGTTAAATTTAAGTGCAGTAAAATCAGCTTGAACAGTTATTTGAAACAGTTAAGGGAGTTATACGATACGATAGAAATCCAAGTACGGGGTTTACAAACTCTTGGTGTCGAACTGAATTCATATGGAAGTTTGTTGTTTCCGCTACTAACCAAACTTATTCCAGATTCTATTGTGATAATTTTTTATAGACAGCATAAAAAAGACGATTCTTGGAATGTAACAGAATTATTAAAATTTCTTAGAAGAGAAATAGAAACGCGAGAACGAACATTTTTGTTTCGACAAACAAGGGAAAATAATGAATCAGTTAAAAGCGTAGGCTATAAACTGTCAGTTAATAAATTTTCGGAAAAGGGGAATAGATTTCAGAAATTTAAAGGGAAGCAGCAAGATTCGATTCCTAACGCAACCGCATTGAGCACATTTCAGAAAATTTGCATTTTTTGCAATAATTCTGAGCATAGTTCCGAAAATTGTGATAAGGAACGCGAACAGAAATTAGAAAGTTTAAAGCGGAACGGAAAATGTTTTCTATGTTTCCAGAAATTTCACGTGGTCCGCTTATGTAAATCAAAAGCGCGCTGCATGACATGTAAGCGTAAACATTCTAGCTTGATTTGTGACGCCAAATGCCTCCCGCGTCAGACAGAGAGTCGCGAAAAAATGAAGAATGACAAAATGAAAGATCAAAATAGTGTCGCGATGAATCATGATGGATTATCTGACGTTTCAAAGTATTTGAAGAAAGCAATAATTAACCGATCGAATGTTTGATTGATACTGGAAGCGCTGTCAGTCTATTAAGATTTTCGGTCTTTTCGAAATTGCGTTTACCAGTGCAACCGGAAACAAAAAAATTGTTTGGAATCGGGAGCGTAAATCACGCATCTACAACGACCTTGGGAAAAGTTAATGTTTCACTTCGAATCGGCGAAATCCAAACAACCGTGAATTTGTTTATCGTAAATTATGAAGTACAGCCGTATGACCTAATTATTGAGAGAGATATTTTGAACGATCAGATATTGGCTTATGGGAAAATAGGGGATTCGTTTAATATATGGTATGCTAATAAAATTCCATTCGCGCAATTGATAAACGAAACGGAGCGTAAACACATTAAGTTATATTCTGAGAAACCAATAGAAATAAAAAGTAACACGATAAACTTTGTGCATTCTGTAGCCCCAGATATAAATAATGGACTGATTTTATTTCAAAGCAAGCATGGAAGTCCGGATTCAGTAATGGAGGTTACAAATGGTAAGGTAACAGTCCCAGTTATGAACATAGGACACAATAACATCAGTTAAAAAGAAAATCAGTGTATCAGCAGGGTAATAGATATAACAGAAGATTGGGAATTAAAGGAAGTAGACACTGCCAATTTAAACAAAGATGAAGAACAAAACCATGTATTTTCCACTTCTCAAAATATTCATCAAATAAAGATAGATGATATAAAATTTGATGAGGCAACTTCAGATAGTGAAAGAACTGATATCTTAAAATTAGTAAATGAATTTAGGGATTGCTTTGCTCTTAATTTAAGTGAATTAGGTTGCACGAACGTAATAAAAATGGACATCAAAGAAATTGACGGGAGTAGGCCTGTGTCTTCTCGCCCATACAAAACGAATGCAGCTGAACGTAACGCAATAAAAGAAATTGTCAAGGAATGGAAAGATAATGGGATAGTTTCCGAAACTAGATCACCTTACGCTAGTCCAGTGTTACTAGTAAAGAAAAAAAACAGAGGAATACAGACTAGTAATTGATTACCGCAGACTTAATAGTCAGATGATAAAGGATAAGTTCTCTTTGCCTCGAATAGATGATCTTTTAGAATGTTTAGGAGGATGCAAAATTTTCACTACTCTGAATTTAGCCCATGGCTATTTGCAAATACCCTTAAGTGAAGAAGCTAAATTGAAGACGGCGTTCATTACCTCAGATGAAACAGGACAGTTCGAAAGGATGACATTTGGGTTAGTAAATGCTCCTGATGAATTTCAGCGCCTAATGTCATATGTCCTAGGCCCTTGTTGAATACTAAGGTGTTGTGTTATATGGATGATATACTTATTCCTGGAAAATCTTGGGAAGAGATGATTTTCAAATTTAAAGAGGTATTAGAATGCCTACGAAAAGCAAATTTAACCTTGAAATTATCTAAATGCGAATTTGGGAAAAGAGGAAGTTAAATTTCTTAGGTTTTTATTATAAACGAAGACGGTATTAGACCGGGATCTAGAAAAATAAAAGCCATAACAGAATTTCAAGAACCAAACAATGTGCACGAAGTGCGAAGATTTTTGGGCCTGACTGGATTTTTCAGACGATTTGTGCCGAAGTATGCGTTAAAGAGCGAACCATTGACCAGATTGACAAAGAAGAATCGAGACTTCGAGTGGAAGCAAGAACAAAAGAAGTCGTTCGAACTATTAAAGAAACAGCTGACTGATAAGCCCATATTAGCTCAGCCCATATCGCATGCAGATACTGAAGTCCATTGTGATGCAAGTGCAGAAGGTTTGAGTGGAATGCTAATGCAACGTGATGAAGATCGAAAATGGCATCTTGTTTATTGCGTCAGTAAGAACACAACAGAAGCAGAGAGAAAGTATCATTCCGGCAAAATTGGAGTTAATGGCCATCGTATGGACGTTGGACAGGTTATGACAGTTCTTAATCGGCATAAGATTTACAATTATTACTGACTGTCAAGCTCTAATATATATGAATGCAAAGAAGACTACAAATCCTCAAATAGCCCGTTGGGTGTAGTTTGATTCAAGAATACGATTTTGAGATAAAGCAAAGGTCAGGAAAAAGACTGTCACATATTGATGCTTTGAGCAGAGGTCCTGTATCAGAAGCTGATGACACGATGACGAGAATAGCTGAAAATTTTGAAGTTTGCCAGTCCCTAACCGAAGAAGAGCAAATACTAATGTGGGAAAGAGAATCTTTTATTTTGCCTGTATGTACAGATATCAGACTTTCACTTCGTACAAGGAAGTAAAAATCTGATATCGCCTGTGCATGATCTCCCGCCAGTTCTACATTTTTAGTAACGATCTTTAATGAGTTCTATTCATTGTTGTTTCAATAAAAAGAAATGTCCTATAATACATATTTATTTATTAAAGAAAACAAAATTTCTGTAATAAATTCAAAATAAACAATTTGAAACGTATACCATACTTTAATTTTCTTCTATGTTACTTCTGTAGTATCAAATTACCTTTGGTCTGCACGTTTATCCCAACGATAGTTAAATATCAGCAAAGAATATTTAGTTTTGGGAGTTAAAATTATATCCCAATATATCTGTTCATCAAAATCTGTTGAAAGCTTCAAGTAAAGTATGCCAGTAAAGTACGTAAAAGTTTATCACTTTTAGCCAAAATTTAATATGTTGCCCTCATTTATATAAAAATCTTAAATACGAAAATTGAAAAGTTTTGGATCATATTTTAATATCGTTACTCATTAAAATCTATTATGGGATTACATGTGGTATTAAAGTACCACTTCCGCCTGTTCACTAAAAACTGTTATAGGCTTCAATTAAAGTACCACTTTACTTGAAGTCTGTCCAGTTGTGCACAAAACGTAATAAATTTTTTATGTAAATAAAGGAAACTTAAATACGAAAAATATAAATTTTTGGATGTTTAATATAAGAGTTATCGTGTACGAAATAATTTTCATAGACAGGCAGGCAGCATCGTGAAAACAGTGAAAACTTGTGAGGATCATAATTCATTCCTTTTCACTGAAAATTCACTATCGAATTTTTGGGCTGAAAACATTACCGTCTTTACCTATATGTAAAGAGATTGGCGGGAGGTGAAAAGAACAGATTTTATCTCGGGTTTTCGAAAAAAGGATTAACAGCATTGTTTCGACATTGTAACATTCAACATTGGTAAATCAATAATCATGTATCAACATTTATGTACATGAAACTGAGAGTAGGCGAGGGCACCAATGCGTTATCATAAATTCTCATTTAAAAGTTCCGGTGCATGAACTGGGAAATGAAAATTCATAAATTAAACAATTCGCATAATTTTCCTCTCTCGATTTTCGGATGACAAAATTAGTAATAGCCCAAAAGGGGGTATCAGGTTCGAAATGGGATTGTTTTTAAATACTTTTTGATTTTTCTATTGAATTTAACTTTATATCGCACGAATGCAAAGAATATGATACTTAATAAGTTAACGCTCAAAAAGTTAATAATAAAAATTTTTTTTTGTTAGCCACCTTACTAAGAAAGCTGAATATTGATACGACGAAGGGCTGAAAAAAGTATAAAAGTACATGGCAACATTTGACTCAGCATCGGGAATTCTAAAAATATGCTGTTACGCAACTTTTAATTTTTTTTAAATTTTGCAGTTGCAGTATGTGGCATAAGTGCGAAGAAAACGATGCTTAATAAAGCTAGAAACAAAAAGGTTTAACAGGAATGAATTCCAGAGCAGACTGGTAGACTGCGAGCTTCAGCGACAGCGTGAAAAACATTAACAAATCCTTCTGGACGACCATTAAAACTGAATCCTTTCAGATTTTTTATTACGTTTTTTAACTAGACACTTGCGTCGCGAATCACCTACAATTTTTATTATAAAAAATACATCATGACTGAGTCAAGATAGTGTCATTTCACGCCCTCAGGTAGTAATTAATAATAAGAAAGATGAATAACTGTGAATAACTGTCTTTTTGTTTGTTAAAATTCATGTTAAATTTGACAGGAAAATTAAATACCTTATACTCTGTCGAATGCCAAACACACTGACGAATAGAAGACAAAACTATTTTAATTCGGGCAGTGGCAACAAATCTCTTTTAACTCTAGTTTTTTTCATTTCTTTATTAAATTTGAAATATAAATATCTTACGCTTTTCAACAGACAATATATTGCTTTCAAATCGCTGAGCTTGTTAAGCAAAATTTCATTCAATTCGCCCAATACACAAACACTTACATAAAACAGATTCGAAAATCCAAATTCGGACTCCAAAGTGCAGATGCTCGAATGGGAGACTGGTTGTGTTCGAAATTTGGTTGGTCTAGGTGCTGCCATTTTTTCACAATGCGAGGTACATACAAACAGATTATTCATTATTTAACAGAAGAAATAGATTATACATACATCATATGGAGACTAAAAATTTTAGCACGAGGTTATTCTCATGAGTCGAATTAGCCAACATAAACATCATTAACATATACCAGTACTTAAGTGGGAAAATAATTCCGTGCTACTACGTTGGGATTTTGAGCCAAATCTTAGCCACCTAATCTTTACTTCAGCTTTTGCGGATATTCACCACTGTTCAAATGCAATAATTAGGTGTCCCTTCTCCTCCAACTGCATCATCGATCAATAGAAGGTTAAAGGACTTCAAGGAAACAACACCGATTCCAGCTATATCGAAAGATTCAGCATTAAATTGCTTATCTCCCTTTCTGAGCAGAATTCTCAGCGTTGGTATCATTAACAAAATTTGAGATTTTCGTTCGATTTTGCTTTGTAATCGTAAGCGCTTTCTTTGGAAACAAAAATATTGGCTAGGCATTTTGTAAGCGGCTTTGTACTTAACAGATAATATCATTCGCAGTGCTTTACTTTTCTCGAACTATTTTTGATATTTCATGTAGCCAATGAATATACAGATAATTCATTTTAATATGTAACACTTTCCGGTCATTGTCTTTTTTGTTTGATCTATAACTGGAAGCATAATTTCATCTTATGCAATCACCTGCGCATAGAATAGCTGATCAGGTAATGAGTTTTCGGTTATCACATGATTGGCAACTTCCCTGTATACGTAGGGTTAGAATAAAAGCCAGACAATTTGTTGAGTAAATTCTCCATCTTCTCACTATAAAACGAAATGTAAATAATCTAATCTACGCTCTGTAACACGCCATTATCTCTACGATGCCTCAAACGGAGATAAACACATTTATTTTACATTCCCATGATTGAAGACCTAACAGAAGTTTCTGAGAGAATATATTTCTCAAAAACTTACATATATGAACGTCCAAAGAATTATGCAATAATAAGTCTGATATCTTCAAAGCAGTTTTATTCTCTCTGTTCACACAATCATTACTAAGTCGACTCAAACACAAAAGCCTAATTAATTGCATTTAGACAACTTTTTCACACAAAGAGATACACACAACTTTTTCTAATTAAATAGTTGAAACTTTCAAGGAATACATGAAAAAAATCCATGTTTAGGGGCAATGGAATGGTTCCTCTCAAAGGATTGATGGAAGGACAAGGATAACAGAGCTTTGTATTAAATCCCGAGGAATGTCCTCCATGAAACCTGGGATATACTTGGGCAAACTCGAACTGTCATCTATGAGATGACCATAGATAAATCCAAAGGCAGTCGCTCTTTTACTCTTTTCCACGATGAAATCGTGGCCCTGATCAAATTTCTCTGAGATTATCACGACAACTAACAGTAAGATATTTTGGTTTCTTTCCCCCGTTATGTTTCAAACGAAAACTAGGACATAGTGGGCAACGTTAGACTGTCATGTGTCTTACGTCGAATATCTAGAAGGCCAATGGCAGTCGCTTTCTTCTTCTTGGACATGATCTCTTCCTCTTGGCCTCTACCATGGTGAATACATTAACCTGATCTAGATCTTAGAAGATCAGCAGGATAATTAAAGGTAAGGGACATTGGATTCCATCTTCCATGTTCTGCATGAAATCTGGGACATAGCTGG